GTAGTACAAACATTTATTGTGTATGACAAACTAAAAATAAACTTAAATTCAGGGGTTAAAAAAATGATGTAATTTTAGATTGAATAGCCATTTTCTCAAAAAAGCAAAACATTTCCCAAAAGTACATTTTGCTAGTCCATGACCCATATATGCTATATATGTATCATATTCCTATAAAGGAATAGGTGATTCTTCAGATCAGACAAACTATACTGTCAAATATTATCATCCATATCATAAATCAGGTAAAATTCTTCTTCGGTTATGAATGATACTTATAGAATCATATATACTTCATCGAGTTTTTAGAGGTTCTCATATTGATACTCCCAAAAAACTCTCCAATACAAAGTGTATAATCAATTCAGATAATAAAGGTCTTATTGATCTAGAGACGAAAAAGCCTTCTGAAAAATGTCTTTAAGATGCTTTAGATTGTTATTTCGTCTATTAGGATGGACATTCAAATCATCTTGAACGAATCTTTTGAGTTACAAAATATAAACCATATTTAGATGTGATCAAGCTCAATGGAATCCCAATGCCTACTCCAATTTTTCCATGAACATTTCAAAAAATTGAGGAGATGAATTCGGATATCTTCATAAATATCTGGAAATGGAAGAAGAATCACATATTACCAAACCAATTCTATATAGTAAAAACTATAAAAGATAACAGATTATCTATCTTATAACCCTTACAGATATTACCAAATCAGAGGAAGGTAAGTATTGGCAAAAGAATCACTTCCTTTGGATTAAGAATCCGAATGGATTAGTAAATAAGGATATATCTCATAAAGAAAAGAAATATTTATGCAACAGATATTTTCAAAGTTTTCTATCTATAAAATCATTAGACCATCATCAGCAATAGTATTTTAGATTGGGCAAAGCCCCACAAAAAGTCACTATGCTTGTAAAAGATGCTAATAATTTTGAAGAGTTTAAGAATTATAGACGTCAAATCAATGCTCTAGTGTTATCCTTGCAGATTTTGAGTCATTAAAGAAGAAGTATGACACACATTATGATGAAAATATGCGAAAGATAGCAGAAGAAGAAGCTAATAGTTTTAGCTACAAAGTTCACTGGATTGATACTGGAGAAACATGGGGTTTCTTCTTATATTGTGAAGAAAATAATACAGAAGAATTCATCTGAAAGATTGATCAAGTATTGGTAGAAATAAATAAGGTCTTAGCTGTTAAGCATGAGCGTATTATTATGGATGACTACCAAAAAAGGTTTAAAAAGGCTGATAGGTATTGGATCTGTAAAGACAAATTTAGTATAGATACAGATATGATTAATAGGTTAGAATGAAAAATTGCAAATCTCACTGACAAGCTTACAGAAATTGTACAAGATCCTAAATCGCATAATAAGATAGCTTTACCTAAAGAGATATCAAAAAGAATCTGAAGAATAGAAAAAAATATCAAATCAGAAAAGAATCTTAAAAATCTCTATATAGAATTGCTAAAGGCTATTAAGAATCCTGAAGACTATAAATCATTAAAATTGGTAATCTTCAAAGCATAAGCTGAATTTGCTAGGAAAGAAACTAGAGATAAAAAGGTTTGGGATCACTGTCATATTACAGGTAAATTCTGAGATGCGTCTCATAATAATTGCAATCTCAAACTTCAGATTGAGCTATAGAAGACACCAATCCCAATTATCTTTTATAACTTCTGAGAATATGACTCTTACTTGGTTTGCAAATCTGTTAGACACTCGAATAATTCACTTCAAATTACTGTTATTGCTGAAACATTTGAGTGATATAAGTCTATGAAGATAAGCCTATTCAATTATATAGATAGCATGCAGTTTATGAATAGTAGCTTGGCCTCTCTTACAAAGAATTTGGATGATGACTACCCAATTACGATTGAGTATTTCAAGAAACAAGGATATTCTTCTGAACAGATTTCCTTAGCATATTACAAAAAAATCTTTTTTCATGAATATATAAATTCTTATGACCGATTTAAGGAAACAGACTTACCTTCGAATCATGAGTTTCATAGTGTTCTTGGAGGTAAGATTTCATAAGAGGATTATAATTATACCCAAAATGTATGGAAGGAATTTGGGTGTAAGAACTTAGGAAAATATAATGATCTCTATCTCAAAATATACGTACTTAGTCTAGCAGATGTTTGGACAACATTTAGAAAGACATTCATGTATCATTATGGCCTTGATTCCAGCCATTATGTATCTGCATCTTTTCTATCCTGGAATACTATGCTTAAGATGATCAAGATCAAGATCAAGCTATTTACAGAAATAGCAATGCATGACTTCATTGAAAAGCAAAGCGAGGTGATATTGCTATGGCAGTATATAGACATTTTCAAGCAAATAATACTAGCATAGGAGAGGAATTCGATCTATCCTAACCCACAATATGGATTTCTTATATCGATGCAAATAATCTTTATGGTTAGGCTATGAGCCAATTTCTTTCAGTTGGAAATTATAAGTGGGTTGCTATCAAGAATATCTAAAGAATAATCCTAAATTGCAAAAGAAATATCTCGAAATGATTCTCAAGACTGAAGCAAATGTATTACGTGATTTCTTCTTAATGATTAATTCCCATTTTTCCCTAAAGATTCATAACTATTTGAGGGACTTACCTCCAGCTGTGGAAAATATTGCAGTAAAAAAGGATATGTTATGCCTATACAATAGTGTTCGTCAAATGATTATGATTGGCAAATGACTAAAATGACAAATGACTTGTTATTTCAATTATCAAATGACCAGTCATTTCAATAATTTTTAATTATAGCAAATTTTATAAATTTTTATTATTTATTTTGTTTATTATAGTGTAAATAAGTTAAATTTATTAAAATATTTA